GGAGGTAGGCATTGGAAGAAGAGGGAAGAAAAACGGCATAAAACTTACTCGGCCGAAGATTCTTCTCCTTTCTTTTTCTGTTTGCAATTTCCGACGGATCGATCTCCTCTCTTTGCCTCGCTCTAAATCTAGCGAAAAGGGCTGATGAGTTAGAACTGCGGCCACATCAGAGGTGAGAAGCGGACCCATCCGGACACGATATTTCGGTACCGCACGATAGCGGCCTGGTTCCGGATCCGGTCCAATCCGGGCCTACCATAGCGAAGCATAGACGATCGTGTCCGTCCGAGGGGTCCTTCTCTATAAAATGTAGCGTACACCGATTTGTCTGTTTTTCTTGATTTTTTGTTATTTTCTCCTGATTTTTTGTGATTTTTTGCTATTTTTTTTGTGTTTTTTGTGATTTTTTTTCTGACTCTTCGTCAAGTTTTTATGAGTTTTTTTTTGTGATTTTTTTATGATTCTTTATGATCTTTTCGTAATTTTTTTCTAAGTGTGTACACTGTTTTTTTTCGGGTGAAGGGCCCCTTGAGTCCGTCTGCCTGTTTAGGCGCGCAGACAGAACCGGATTGCCGAACCGGATTGCCGATCCGGATGGGTCCGTTTCTGAGCTCTGCGGCCACAGAGCCGTGCAGTGGGTATACCTACTAGGCGGACTGTCGTAGTCACTCTAACTCTACTAAAACAAATTGCCTCGTTCACTAAAGTTTTCTGTTATTACTACACTGCAAAAAATTATGGCAGGAAAAGTGACAGCATCGCCGCTAATTAATTTTCCAGGAACGTCTTTTATTCGAATAACAGCATCGCTGTAGTTTTAATGGTTAATTTGGTACAGGGAGCAATGTACAGGACCACTGTGCAGGCAAAAGCGGACAAAACTGTCTACAGTGGAGCCGTCTTCGTACACTGTACCGTGTAAAACCTTGGCTTTCCGGTGCTACAGCAACACTGTACTCCGCGTTCTGTACCCTAGGTGCAGCAGGCGCGGATTAAGGTCCGGCTGACAGGGGGGGCGATGCACTGTCGGTTGCCTACATACAGGGGTTTTGTGTCACAAATTGCCTACCTTTCAGGCGGCTATCTAGAGACGACAGGGGGGCCATCCCCCCCCACTTAATCCGCGCCTGAGGTGCAGTGACTCAGAGCGGCATCTTCAGTAACGCTGTAGATCGTTCCGTATCAGACTCTAATTTTTTGCAGTGTAAACGTTTTCCTCCTAGCACCTTAATTATCATACTGCGAACAAGTTTAGTATTACTAAAGAATACCTTTTTTCTTGATAATATACAGCAGAGCACAGAAGAACAATAGTCTTAAGGTGAATTTTTGGTAAAAAGTTTAGAGAGTGCAGTCCTGACACGTTGCACGTCACCATCGTACGTCTCATTTGACCCCCCCCCCCTCCCCCCAAAAAAGGTTCGAAAATTAAAATTTTGATCGTTTCTTTTGTTTTCTTTTGCAGCCCACATGGAGACTGTGGGGCGAGGAACGCGCTGACGGTGCCATCTACACCGTGTACCTGAAGAAGGTGCGATACCACAGGCCCACCAGGACTATAGCATCGGTAAGTGAACGGAGAGAAAAGTTCGCGACTGGCAGTGGCACCCAAAAGTTTCGGTGTGAGTCCCGAACAAAAAGTCTTATGCAAACGTTTCGGTGCTGCTCCCAAATAGTACCGACGATGATGTTTGGCGAAACTGCCCAAACCGATGTGTCAAGGCTGAATTTCATCTAATTTGTACTTAGTTACTCGATCAGAAAATACTTCGTCATATCTTGTCGTCTTAGAAAATGTAACTTTTCTCTCCCCATCCACACATTCAATTAATCTGTCTTATCCTTTCAGTAGGCGACAGACATATTTTGTATTCTAGAGTGGTAGTGATTATGGACACGATCTAAAATATCAATAAAATTGGCGAGGTGTCTGCGCAGTTTGGTTTATTTGGTCCATGTGTTAAATAGCCATCCAGTAAAAGAATTAAGTGTGATTCAAAGGGCTGCGGACAGCATTTTTATATTTTAGAAACTTTTATTTATGAAAGTAATTTTTATTAGTATTTTTTACACAATTCTTAAAGAAGTAATATATTACCGAATCACCAGCAAAATAGAGCAATCGTTTTACAAATCTACGAATAATTACTATCTTCAAATGAAACTTAGAGAATGTGAGAAAGCCCTTCGAGAAATCTGTAAACCAACTTTGAAGGCAATCATCGAACATTATCAAATTGTGCTAGGGACACATGTGTTATTTTTAATCGTCGGTTTTGGTCCTCTGATGCAAAGGATTGCCACATTTTACGTTTAACGCAAAGATTCACCAAGTTTTACTTATTTTTGCAAAATAAGAAGCACATTCGTGAGAGTGTGAGGCGCAATGGAAATCCCGTCCCGTAGCGACAAAAAACAGACTTTACTTAGAATTGGCGTTGTTTCCGGCGCTCCGGAAAGAATAAAGCTGAAAAAAGGAACTAAATAAAAACAACAGCAAGGGAAACAGCCAAACACACGGCCCAGCCTGAGCGGGGCCATGATTGGCCTGATGGAGAGGAGATGGTTCTTTCCATATCCGAAATTTATGAACTAATTGTGCCATCGTGCCAAAGTCGCCAACATGGCTGCAATCGGCGACAGCTCACGGCGCTAACTGGATCAGCCTCGCAATTGCGCGGTACCCCCCCCCCCTCCCACACCTCCTCCAGGCACTTCTCTATCCCAGAGTATCACATTACTCGACAATTATATTGTCACACACGATCAAATCGTTTTGCGCCGAGGCGAGGTCACACTCGTGATAGCTTTTCTAAATCTGTCGTTTCTCCCTCCTTTTTTTCATTTTCTTTCACGATTGAATTAAAAACGGGGGGGGGGGGGGGGTGAGGGTGGCAGAAGGATGATCTCGATGCGCGCTGCGAGAGGAGGCAGGCTATCGCATTAACACGAGGCCATTTTCGTCAACGCCACACCCTGACGCCGTGTAACACACACGGCCCCTTCAGTAAACTTCAGTCACTCGCCGAGGCTCAATAACTGGACGATGGAAAGGGGGTTGTGGGGGGTGGGGGAGGATACTGGTACGAGACGATACATCCTGTTTGCCCCTCTCCCCTTCTTAACCACACTGCAAAATGCTTGCAAATGAGAATAGATTCATATTGCAAACTATTTTCTTCGCAGCTTGCAAAGAATTTTCAAGCATTATTGTAATATGAACTAGTTCTTCGTAAGCTTTCACACTACTTCTTTGCAATGCAAACACATCGTTTGCAAGGATTCTGACACCTTGCAAAAGATTTATTCGCAATACGAACTAATTCTTTGCGATACAAAGCTCGCAAATTCTTTGCAACGTTGCAAAGAGTATGTATAGTTTGCAAGCATTTTACAGTGCACCTTTGTGCGTTGGGGAGGGCAGGCGTGGACGGTATTATTCACCAAGTTGGGCTCCCGTTAGCGCGTCACTGGTTTAAAAACTAGACAGAAACCAAAAGTCGTTGAGGTGGGCGGGGTGGGACGAGGCGGCTGACATGAGCACTGCCCGGCCGTGCGCGGTCCTTGTAAACGCCGGGGCGCGCGGAGTCTCCGATTCCCCGTAGTTAAATCCTGTGCACCACTGCCACTGCACGTTTGCCCAAGTCAATGGGCTCTCGCCTGGTTTGGCGTAGCGCTTACAGAACTCGTGTGCAACCCCTTTCACAAACTTTTTTTTTTCGCACCGAAGCGCTTTGCGATTTTGAAAACGATGTTGGTGACTGTTGGTTTAGTTTTGTGCACTCCGCCGAGTAGTTCTCAGTCATTCTGTCAGCAGTTGTCGTCAACGCACAGTAAAAATATAAACAGGTGCCCCAGGTGGGGGATTGCTCGAGTGTGCGACGCTCTTTTTCTTTGTTCTGCAAAAAAAAAAAAGTTTATGTTGCCTACAACATTGCGGAACGAAGCTTGTCACAGTTTATACTTGTTCACTATTGTAACGTCCCACATACTTAAATAGGATCCTATTCACTCGAGTGTTACAGTAGTTGGTAGTAAAGTGCCTACAAATTCAGCGGACGCGCGCGTTAAAGCGTGTCAAGGTTCAGCGCTCAGAAAGCGCAGCGCTGAGACGCCTGGGCGCACGGGACTTCCCCCTGACGTGTGGTCACTCTCTCACGAACTCACTCACGCACCCCCCCC